TATTTAAAAATGTTCAATCTAATTTCGAAGTTAATAAGTTATTTGAAAAGTGTTAAAATGACAAAATATCTGTTAGAATTTTTTGGAAATAATACTTTAATTACTTAATTTTTATTGTAGTAGTCAATAATAACTAGTGGTGATACAACAGTACAAGCGTTCTCGCATTTTTTCCTACTCTTACAATTTTCAAAAATTCAGAGAGTTTACTCAAAAACCCGTGCCTTTTTTTGTGTGTTCCATTTAAAAATTTTAAAAAAGTATTGCCAGCTATGTTTGTGAAAAGATTGATAAACATTTGCATTAACTTTAAGAATAATTTACGCAGAAACTACTTTTTTAAAGAAATCATTTTCTAAGTATCTGATTTTTCCAGAGCAAATTTTATTTAAGCCGAAAATCTTTATCAAATCTTTAATTTTTAATGTTAACTTCTTGCAATTTTCCAAAAAACGGAAAGGTAGATTGGACTAGCCCAACCATTATTTTGCTACATAGGAGGAGAAAATTTAAAGCCGCCTTTGAAGGAAAAAATGTTTAAAATTTTCTACATGTCCCATAAAATTACTCAAAGTTTCGGAAAATTGTACATGCCCTTATTTTAAGAAGTCTTTCAAAACAGATTTTATGAAAGGAAAAAAATCGCCATCTTCCGTACTGAAGTTGTAGTGAGACGCCGAAAACAATTTTGAACATTTGCCACCTTCGAAAAATCAGGGATTTCAACGGAAATGAGACCAGTACCATTCTTTAAAGTGAGGACGCTATTTGAGGACACAGTTTATTACAAAAACATTGAAGACATATTTTAGAAAATTTTGAAATGAGTTATGGCTTTAAAAATCAAAATATCAGTTTGAAACTCCCAAAGCTTCGAGGTCGTTGAGATTGGTATGTAGAAAATCGGCTAAACAGTTTAGGCGCTTGCTTTGACCTGCAAGACAGACGGCCGGCCAGACAGAGAGACGGCCGACCAGGCGGCCGGCCGACCAGACGGACGGACGGCTGGACGGACAGTCGGACGGCAGAACGGCCAGATGGCAGAACGGGTGGGTAGATCATTGGCCAAGCTTTTGCTGTCACTCGTTTTTCGGTAATGAAAACCCACAAAACATGGATTCTGGCGTCTGTCCGTCAGTTGGTCCGTCTGTCCATCTGTCTGTCCGCCTGTCTCTCCATCGGTCTGAGTATATGAGCTTTTCTGACTTCAAATTATACCCGAATATTTTAATGAACCTTTACTTCGGTCAGAGTGAAGTACGCTTAAATATAGAACAGGTCTCAATTTCGTTGAAATCTCTCATTTTTCAAAGTTTCAAACTTTTTTCACCTGCAATATTGAAGACAGATTTTTCTTTAATGAAATGTTTAAAGGCAGATATTGAAATATGATCATGCACAATTTTTCGTGAGTAGTTTACGAAAATAAAAAAGGAAAATTCGTTATTTCGTTTAATATCTGGTAGTATTAAAATGAAGTCATGTAGCTTATGGAAGAACAATTTTATTTTATTTTATGTATCGGTACAGATAATAATAGAGAATGTCTTAATATGTGACTATGAAGGTGTAAAAAGTTTAAATATTTCAATCACCAATAGTCAGGGGACCCAGACTTTAAAACCTCGTGAATTACAATGAGATAACGGTAAATCCATCTTCTTTGGCTACCATTCAGAATGTCTGATGCCCCCAGAAATATTATAACATTTTCGAATAATTTAATTAAGTAATATGAACAGCATGACATTAAGGCAAGGAAAGCAAGCAGTGTCAATACCTTAGTAAGTTTCTGATACAGCATTCTGCTGGTATTGATCGAAGAAGCTAGAGAAAACTACCAATCAGAGTAGCTGATTGCTCTAGACAGCGGTTGATTGCGCACTACTATCTACAAGCAAGTGTCAACAATCCACCCTCATCGAGTCTCGAACTCGAGGAACTTTCTGTCAGAGACTAAGAGTGCGATTTTTTTTATATTACTATTATATGATATAATATTCTTTTAAAAAATGGGATGGATTATACCCAGTAAAGTACTTAATAATTACAAATTATTTTGCAATTTGTGGAGATTACCAAAATGTAAAACTCTGAGCCCAAGTGGTACTTACTGCGCGTTGTCCTTCTTGCCTTCAGTGTTCTCCATGGTTTGAAAAAAATTAATTGTTCATCGGTTGTTGGTCGGAGGTACCCAGAAGGTACCAGATATATCACTGAACTCAGAAGTTCCCAGAACCCAGACACACTAGCCATTGCACCTAAACACACATTCTAAATGCAGCACTTATAAGATTATTTTCCCAATAGATTACGAAATCAGCAAAGTGCATGGATATTAAGGTTTTCGATAAGGCATAATAGAACATGGTGGCAGTACTCCCATTTTATATTACTTAACAAAATTGTACGAATAATAAAAAGAGTGCAATTTTTCATAATTTCTGCTCGACAATCTTCAATGACCGTAGGTGCTTGGCACTGCCTTGCCTAATCATTTGCAAGCAAGGAAGTGCTGCTCTTTGGTTAGGAGCTCACTGGTGGGGTAGCCTCAAGGATGCACTGCCCTCGCTCCTCAGCTGGTTGTTCATACCGTTCTCGGGGCACCGAGAAGTTCACTCTGCAAGCGCTGGCCCTTTGGTAAGGAGCTGACGGGTGGGTGGGACACAAGGGCTTGCTGCTCACGCTCCTTGGCTGGTAGCTCACGGCGTTCCAGGGCAAGAAAAAAATTCCGTTATGACTGGTGTCGTAAGTGCGTTTGCAAAAATTGTTTCTTTTCCGATTTTGTACAAAATTAAATGAATGAGGAATGTTTTGTCTGTATCGCTAGGATTACAAAAATAGGCAAGCGGCGTAATCAAAGATTTCTGGTACGTACATAGGTTTCAAATGCGAGGGGCTGCGACATCAGCCAGATCGATTGCAGAATATCAATTTTGGAGAAAATTGGCTGAACGGTTTAGCCACTAGCGTTGCTCACAGACGGAGACAGACGGTCAGGCGTTTTGTCATCAATTGATTTTTAGGTATCAAGACCCACAAAACGGATTCTGGTTAAACCCACATATTGAAGGATCCCCCCCCCCCAAATATAGCAACTGGATTTATCCCCTTTTCGTTAACAGGGCCATGTAATAAGAGATTTTCTTGCAAAATTTTGCCGTTTTTTGCACAGCAATACATAACGTTCTCACTGCCGCGAAAGAGGTAATGTGAAAGTAAAAATAATGTATCTTCAATATTGTGGAAGACGCGGAAAAAATATTTCTAAAATTGTCCAAAAATACCGAAAATGGTAGCTCCACTTTTCTCTTAAGCGTCTTTTATCATATCCGGGATCAGAATTTTCTTCGTCTGAAGATTTTGTGTCCCGCGCCACGGGACTCTCGTTTTCCTCGTTCTGGTCCTTTGTCCCTTGGGGCGGGACTTATTTTTAACTATGTGTTATTTCACTCAGATGGATGGCACCGGTTACCAGGACAACTAATTCTCTTCCGGAGACATTAGGCAGTATTTCCTTCAGTGATGCCTCATTTTTACTATCTCGTTCTAAAAAGTTTTTCTTGACTGAAATCACTTTGTTTACGAGGCTGCAGTCGTACGCATGATAGCGTCGAGAAGTAAGTGTTCGAGATTGTCACAGCCTGAAGTGAGCGAATTAGTAAATAATTCTGCGTGTGAACAATGTTCAGAAAACGAATAATTGGAAAAGTTGGTGCTTCCGAAGAATACGAAAAAAGTGACAGAAACGGTAACTCGGACTCCTTTCATACAATACATCTGCAGGTGTTATTGGTAACAGTGAAGCTCTCGACACCAAACATTAACTTACATAGTTATGTATTATGAATTAGACAAATAATTTTAAAAAAATATTTTTTGTAACAAAACAAAAAAAATAGTTTGGAACCTCAGTGCAGGTTCTTAGACCGCGGCGCGCCAGACCGGTGCATCCAGGTACCCGGGGATTTAAAGAACCTGCAACTAGAAAAACGCTGCGTCCCGCCACGCCGGCCAAAGTACCGGAAAGAGTTAATCAAAAATGTGTAGTTATTTATTAGAGAAATTTGAAAATATTGTTAAGCCTTCATACTCTGCCTTCAAGTAGCCCCTAAAATCAAAAATTTCCTTTCATTCTCAGAAATACTTGAGTTCACTTAAAGAGATAGGTGGATATCAAGTTAGAGAAAATCGGGTAAATATTTTCGGCACTAGCTTTGGACAAAGCCGGACGGAAAGAGGGGACCTTGCGACAGTGTGTGTGGGTGTGTGTGGGTGGACGGAGCAACTAAAATATTATCTACAATAGCTAGCCTTCAATTGTATCAGATACCTATTAATTTAGCCAGGAAGTTATTTAAGTGTGCTGATGATAAAGTAAAAACATCAACATAAGCAACACTGAAAAATACTTAGAGGAGTATTGCAATAGTGATATGAAAATAAAACTAGTGGTGCTACAACATCACATACTTTATCGCAGTATTTATATATTTGCAATTTCTGAAATTTCAAAGAGCGACGAAAATGAGACAGACCATTTTTTGATGAGAATTCCATTTTTTAAACGTCTCTTCTTCTATCCGTGGAAAAAAATTTGAAGTAAAAATGGGAGCAATTTTTTCACAAGATTTTTTTATAAATTGCATTCAATTGCGTTTTGCCGTCCATCAACTTTTCGGTATCAAGGACTCACAAAACATAGGTTCTCTCTTCACCACTTGTTAAAGGAAATAACTTACTGTATATAGAAACATAATTTACCAACATTTTTTTCTACTTATTAAAGGTCGCTTTGCAACTACTAAGGTCATACGTTAGTAACATAGTTCTGTAAGTAGAATACGGGATAACGGTAAAGGTGTATCAACACACACAAACATCCATGCCTTGAACAGAACTCAAGCCCACGAACCTTCAGGCACAAGGCATCTACGACTCTTCAGTCTTACGACCTCGGCTAACCAGACTGGCATTTATCCATTTTACGTTACCAGGGACTGAAAATAAAAGTTTTTTCTCTCAAAAAATCGACGTTTTCTATCGCACAATACAAGTTTCTTACATACGTAAGAGCGAGAAAGTATACGTAAACAGTAGAATAAACAAAGAAAAATACGTAATTTAATTTCATTATGAAACCGCTAAATTATATTCTCTGTAAAATGAATTAAAAGAAATATCAATTTATTTAACTGTATCACATACATATACTCATATTCCTATAAGTATTCCGTCTGTTTAATATTGTACTAATTTGAATCCGTTTGATACTTTTACTTTCTCGCCTTACGAATATTTTAGTTTGAAATTAATCAGCAATGAATTTTATAAGAATATATAAAGCACACAGTAAAATGTGAAAGTATATTTCTATTTCTTGCTACAAAGTACAAAGATAATATTCGTCTTCATCCTATTGGCACATGCTTTGGTGTGACTTTCTAACACACGCAGCAGCAAAACAAGAAGTAGACATTTCGGGTGTATTTAGTTTCTCTGAAAACTCTAGGTGTTCTACTTTAAAAATTATCAGACCTATGTAGAACGTTTGAGGGAATACAACGACATTTTTTCGAATTTTGATTGTCAGGTTACAGAAGAAATTTTAAAAATAAAAATAAAATAAGTCAAAAACGAATTCTGAAAAATGTAATGAATTCAGTACATACATAAAAAAAGACCATATTTTGCTCTATAATGTAATTAAAAATTAAATTTCTATTACAATTACAATCCGAATTAAACATGATTAACTAGAGGGGTACAAGCACCTGTTTTCAAAAATTTTGAATGTTAATATCATTTAAAAAAATAATCTTTGAAAAAATTAAAAACGTGTGTTTTATGTTTTTGCTTAAAGACAAAGTAAAAAATTCTGGGACATCAGGGTCAAATTTTGCTTAAATTTGTGCGATTTGACGTCAAATACATATATTTGCGTAATTTCGAACAGTTAGGGGGTTTTATTTATTTATTTACGTCAAAAACAGTTAAAACTGTGTGCTATGGGAAGAAGATAATTTGAAGTTACTTTTATGTCCAGAAGCAAAACAAGGAACTATCTCAACATTTGCTCAAGGATCAGGGAAACTGGACGAAAACCTAATCTGCGTCATTGACCCAGAAGCTTGAGTACACTACTTGTTACAGGTTCTTTAGAATCATACAATCCAAATACTAAATAATTAGTGAGATGGTAATGGTTATAGAAAAAAGCCTAATAAAAACCGCTACTTCGCATATCCGCTGGCCTTCCTTACTTTTGATGATGATGAGAGAGGATGAGTTTCACGGTGATTCGCCTTCCATTGCCGCCTTTCAGAAGAATCGTAATGGTTTTCCGTAGTGTAGGCTTTGGTGGGTGCCCTTTCTCACATAAGTGTGTTGCAAGCTGGTGATCAGCTTTTGCAGTTCCGATGCGGTTGGGGATGAATTTCTTCACGCAGTTTGGCGGTAGTTGATGCTCAAATCGCTTTACTATTTTTATTTTACCTGACAAACAACACACGGCGTGAGAAAATGTTTTTTTGAAATCACTAATATTCTTTGAATAACACTGAAGTCACTATAATTCAGTTTCAATCAATTTTCTATCTAAAATACTCTTACTTACTTACATTATTTAGCTAACAACTCCATTAACAAATAACTAAGATACTCTTTGATTATTAACCAGGTCACTGGGATTGAGGCGCGCCGGGCGCAGCAGCTCCCATGCTTGGTGTGCGGAGACGTCGTGGACTGCGCACGAGTTTATACAGAGCGAGGTTGCCTCTGTCCGTCAGCCGGTTGGGCGGGCGATTGGCGGAGAAAATATCGGCCAACCAGTCCACGGACCCACTGAGCGGGGTGGTACAAGGCACTCAACCCGCGGTCGGACTTCAAGGAGCAGCGGGAACCGCGCCATGTCGCGACCGGGCGTGGAGGTAAAATGGATATTTCCAGGCCTCATTCAGACGGAAGTCTTTGTCGGTATTGAGAATTTCCATTGCCTCTTTTACCGTCCTCGGTTCCCAGTGGTCGTCTCTGGCTAGGAAATTAGGGATAAAGAAAATAACGTCGTGTCCAGTTTTCTTTTCGGAGAGGACTACGGCCGCTGTATTTATTTATAAAATGAATAGCAAAGGTGTACGAATCTAAATTTTGTTTCCAAAATGTAATATGCCCATTAATTCTCGCTGAAAATGTTCTGCCTTTTTGGCCTACGTAGGAAGAATCATAGTTATTACATGTGAGGTAATAAATGGCATTTCATTCAATGGTGGAATAGATGTTTTGAAACTGGGGAATAAAGATTGGAGGAAGTTTAAAACTTTGTATGATACTGAAATATTGTGTTTTGTGAAACACTAGTATATGCGTTTAGATTTTGGGCCTAAGTAGGGGATGCAAATAAATTTCGTAGGCTCTGTAGGGCAAATGTTACGAAAAACCTTTATTCAAAATAATTTTTACTCCATTTTGACTGATTAGTTTATTGATGAAAAGATAATCTAAATTATTATTCAATACATTGGTTGTAATGGTATTTACTTCATTATTAAAATCTACATCTGACATAGGAACCTGAAATTTATCGAAAGTGAAAGACAGGAAATTTATGATCGTTAATGTGATTGGAATGACAAGGTTGTGTAGGTTCCCTGAAAAATTTACAGAGTGCTTAGTTTTTAATAGTAATAGTTAAATCAAGGAAATGAAAGGAGTAGTTATGTTCAATTTTTTTAGAAAATTTTACATTGGGGTGAAATGAATTTAGAAAATCAAAGAACTGACTCAGTTGCTTAGAAGTACCTGACCAAAGAGAAATATAATGTCATCAACCTACCTGTAATAATTACTAATGTTTTTGAGGAGAGAGTTAAAAAAACTGTTAAATATGTTCTTCTCGAAATAAGCCATAAACGGTTCAACGAAAAAAGAGGAGAAACATTAGAGCCCATAGCTAGTCCTTCACATTGTGAATAGAATTTGTTGTTAAAAGTGAAATGTTATTAGTTATACGTAAGTCAAATAGTTTGATAAAATCTATTTTTTCTAGGTAAGATAAATTTGATTTCATAATATGATGGATATAAATATCTGTGACTTCGTCAGGGGGAATATTAGTAAATAAATTCTGCACTTCAATAGAGACTAATTTTGATAGAGTTGAAAAGAGGGATCATATTAGGGATAATAGGTATTACGTATCTTGTACAGAAATTGTAAACCTTCCATTAATCAGGTATGAGTCACTATTTTAATGTATATTTTTTCAGTCGCTAATGACCTAGCTGTTGATGCGACTTTAAATAAATAAATATAACAAAGACCCCACTCTATCTTTTCACCTAAAAACTCGGAAACCCCAATGTCCTAGATTGTTCGGCCTTATTGAATTAGATAAAGAAAATCTTCCTATTAGGCCAATGGTTGGTTAGTACATTTGCAGTAATTCACTCCTTTGTAAACTTCAAAACTTTATGTTTTTAATTCTACCACTCAAGTCAGCGATGTAATGTTTACTGGGGTGAGTATTTCACAAGATTTACGCTATTACACACAAGTACATACAAGTATGTCCTTTGTAAAAATTGAAGATGCTTTATTCTACCTGATGAACAATGCTACTAATAGGAACATATCGGTGATTTTCATAAAACCTGAAATAATTCTTTTAGACGAAATGTGAACTAAGTGTCTTGAATAAGAAAGAGGGATTCGTCGGGATGTTTCTTGAAAGGGAAATTAGACCGGAGAGGTTGCAAACGCCCCTGCACAGCCCTGCCCCTTGCCGCTTGGAGATCCCTGAACTTGCCCGGCGATGCGCCACGAAAACCTGCATTTTATATGAATAGATATCATTCTCTCTTGTGCTGTTAATGGTGTTAAAGTATCAACATAAATGGTATTGCTGAATTTGTCTTCTCAGTACTTATTTTTATAAAAATTATAGCGTTCCATTCAATAATCGACGTTAGTCCATTATCCAGTTGAAACGGCGACGAAACACGACAGGATGTCGTTCGTTTCAGTGGTAAGATAGAACATTGTTTCCATTCTACTTCTTCCGCCACTGCAGAGCATCACCGCGTCCGGTTAGTCAGAGTCAATCAGGACAACAGGTCAGTCAGGACATCAAGGCAGTAGATTTCGAATCAGCGTCCTGCCATTGCCGACTGGAAATTACTCGATTTCATGGGCCAGGTACCTAGCCGCCTCTTCCTAGAAACATTTTGCAGCTAGACGCAGTGTTGGCTGTTTTTATAGACGCGGGAGGTAGTTCTAGAAAATTCTTGAAACTCGTAAAAAGTTTCGAACTTGGACGCCTTCCCTGCACCCTTCCAAAGCTAACGTGTACCATGTCAACAGTCCAACGGAGAAGAGGACAGAGGCAAACTCTAGTGTAGTTTTTGTTGTTGCTTTTTGCCTCATCGTTTAGGGCTTTTATTATTAGAACCTTCAGTAGCCCTAACTGAGAGTTCCGCCAGTGAACATTTGTCGAATATTTCAAAATAAATGCAAACACTTCGCTAGGCATGTCTTCAGGGAAATTTCGAGGTTCTCTTACAGCCTGTCCATAAACTCGTTGCAATCTTTCTTTAGAATCTGTAGATGCAAAGAACCGTCGAGCATGCGGAGAAACATGTAGTGAATGTTGGCAGACTTCTTCACAAAAATTATCTATGTATGCACTTGCCACATTTCAAAAACAGAAAATATTTTCATACTAACTTGCAGATACTATATATAATACTATCTAGTGTCATGCGTTGCCCGGGTATTTATTAATCACAATTGAAGACTTGAAATTAAAAAGCATTTACGTGCCATTTTTATTAAATTTACGACGTATTTCTTGATTGGTTTAACGTATATATATATATAGTTTGTGGCGTTATGGGATTGTGCAACCCCATAACACCACCGTCTCATGTGTGAACACTACGGAGGCAGGCGAGGATAACAGACGCGTAAGGCAGAGGTACTTAACGCCGGCCTGGTATCCGTTTGC